AATACTTCGTTCACATTATGAGAAATGGTGTCAAGTACCGAATCTTACAAGTCGTTATACAAAGGAAAATCTCTGGAAATAGAGGACCAGGACGACGTCGAATCTCATGACTGAAAATCTCGAGGGACTGCTGTGAAATGTCTTCAGAAGAACTATTCAGAAGATCCAGCAATGGAATACGTTAGCCGTGACGACAGGCAACATCCGAAACGGATAAGGCACCAAAAGAAGAAAATAATATAAACTAAGAAGTTCGAGATAAACCAAAACTTCCGTTGCTATTGCTTCGGCAGAGCCAAGAAATCCAAAACTCGTCTCTCCAATAAACGTCCTTTCGAATAAGTGCACATTTTGAGATTGCGCATTCTGTTAATTAATTCGCTTCATTCATTGACGAAATATTTAAACTTTAATTTTACAGACCTAGTATGCAGGCTGCTTTGGTGGTGGAATGCTGAGGTACAATCCGCAGTTAAACAAAAGAAAGAGGCAAAGAAAAGATGGGACTTGATGGAAAGGCCTGAAGATAAAGAAACTTACCATTTGGCAAATAAAATGACTAAAAAGGCGGTGAATATTGCGAAAGCAAAGGCGTTAGAAGAGGCTTATAAAGTTTTCGAAAGGAAAGATGGGGAAAGGCAGTTGATGAGAATTTCCAAAGCAAGGCATCAAAAGATTTTATCTCTATTAAATTGATTAAAGATGATAAAGGAGTGATATTACAAGATTACGAAAGAGTCAAAGAAAGATGGAAAGTATATTTTAGGAATTCATTGAATAAAGAAAACCCCAGAACTTTACACGAAGATGGAGAGGCGAATGAAAGAGTGGTGCAAAGATATTAGAAGAAAAGAAGTGGGAAGGGTGCTTAGGGAAATGAAGATGGGGAAAGCAGTAGGCACTGATCGGATTCCGGTTGAAACTTGGAGAGGTTTGGGTAAGGAGGGGATTGATATCCTCTGGGACCTTATGAAGAAACTCTGGCAGCAGGAGAAGATCCTAGATAAATGAAGGAAAGTATTCTTGTGCTGGTGTTTAAAGGTAAAGGGGATGTACAGGATTGTGGGAATTAGAGAGATTTAAAGTTATTGTCTCATACTATGAAATTTAAGAGAAAATTGTCGAAAGAAGGATTAGACAGGAATCTGAGATTAAAGAGAAACAGTTTTATTCCGGGAATGGGTACAACTGATACTATTTTTGCTTTGAAACATCTGATGGAAAGGCACAGGGAAATACAGGAAGATTTGCACACGGTGTTCATAGATCTAGAAAAGGCGTATGATTGGCTACCAAGACGAGATATGGAGATGTTTGAGGGAAAAGAATGTTCCAGAAAAATATGTTATGCTCGTCAAAGAAATGTATGAGGGAGTCTCCGCTCCCTCGTACATTTCCTAGCTTAGGTATTACAGAATGGTTCTCTGTGAATGTTGGTTTACATCAGGGATCGGTCCTTAGCCCTTATCTGTTTGACCCGATAATGGACGTGTTGGATTGTGACGTGAAGTGTAGTGCTCCGTGGAGTATACTGTTTGCGGATGATATTGTGCTGTGTGAACCTTCCCAAACCAAGGCTGAGAAGAAACTGGAAGAGTGGAGGAAAGTTTTGGAAGAAAGGGGCATGAGGAATAGCAGAACTAAAACAGCTTATATGATCTGAATGGTAGGGACAAGTGTAATATTAAAATCCAAAATGTGCCGCTTCCTATGGTTTAAGTATCTAGGGGTCTTTGTCGAGATGGGAGGAGGATTGAACTCGCAAGTGTAACACAGAATTTAACGTAGATGGTTGAATTGGGAGGGAGCTGAGAGGCGTGTTATACGACAAGAAAGTTAGCTGCAATCCGAAAGGAAAATTGTATAAATCAGTTGTTAGACCCGCAATGTTATATGGAGCTGAGACACGGACAATCACAAGAGCCCATGAAAGAAAGATGGCGGCGGAGATTTCTCATCTCCGCCGCCTCCATCTTTCTTTCATGGGCTCTTGTGATTGTCCGTGAGAATGTTGAGATGGATGTGTGTAGTGTCAAGGAAGAATAGAATAAGGAACGAGTTTATCAGAGTTTAGAGGAAAAAATATATTTCTTACTAGACTATACATATACATGATACATATACAGTCGACCCCCCTATAACACGGTAGATACATTCCGTTCTTTATGAAATTCATGTTTTACGAGTCCTCAAATACATGAGCCAATCATAGCCCGGCACGTATGCAGTTTACGGACTACGGCTGTTTGAAAGATTTTCTTCCATAAAATTAATTCGACTCAACATTTCCAAAACACGTAAAACTTTTTGGGAATAATCCATATAAACTATGCTATAAACAAAAAATTGTAGAATTACTTACCGAGTGTGCACCGTTCGACGACGCCATTGCTTAAGCTTGTTTTCGTCGTGGAGCAGCGCATCGAACGGGGGGCGCGTGTTTCCTGATAGATTATTTTTCTGCAAAAAATTTTCTGAACTTTGGAGACATTATTAATATAAATATAATTTTTATGGACGTTAAATAATAAATGTTTTTTGTAGGTCCGCTACTCGTTTAAACTCAACGGTTTGGCAATATCCGCTATTGGTATAGANTCCTGATAGATTATTTTTCTGCAAAAAATTTTCTGAACTTTGGAGACATTATTAATATAAATATAATTTTTATGGACGTTAAATAATAAATGTTTTTTGTAGGTCCGCTACTCGTTTAAACTCAACGGTTTGGCAATATCCGCTATTGGTATAGATTAGACCAATCCTGTCGCGACACGAGTCGGCGATGACGTTTTACCGTTATATAGGAGTCTCTTTTAGCGTGTTTATACGAATACGGTCGCAATTTTTTCGCCGCGATATACGAATCCGAATTATATGAACCCATTTTATAGGGGGTCTACTGTACATGTATATGTATAGTCTAGTAAGAAATATATTTTTTGTTCTAAATATGAATTCGTCCCTGCAATTTTTTAAAAGAGTTTATCAGAGGTTCTGTTAAGGTCGGTCCCTTGAGCAGGTTGAGGTGGTTTGGTCACGTAGAGCGAAGTAGTGAAGATTATGTTGGAAAGAGGGTCGGAAAATTGATAATGAAAGGAAGGAGGAAGAGAGGAAGTCCAAGGCTGCGATGGAAAGATAAGGTAGAATAAGACTTGAATAAGAGGAGACGCCCTTAATAGGAAGAAATGAAGGAAACATATTAGAGAAGGAAACGCGACCTCACATAAACATGGGAATAAAGAAGTATGCAGGCTGCTAGTATGGCCGAAGCCGAAAAGATGCAAATAGAGACGTTGCAGAAAGAATTCGAAAATTATTTATCATTCTTTTTGGCAAATCTCGTTCGTTAGTTGTGAAATGGGAATTATGTTAGCAATTTGTAACGTAAATCTTAAACTTTTTCTTTTTACTTTTTCCGCTCTCTTGGCACTACGAGGTCTCTTTTTGCAAGCCCATTATGGATTCGGCCAGGCCCACAATGGGTCGGCCGGGTGGTGAGGGACGAGGCCCGACATATCCGGACGGACTACCCAATGAAAAATTCCTGGGAATTTTTCGTGGGTTAGTCCGTCCGGATATGTTGATCCCCGTCCCCACCACCTTCCCCATTGTGGGCCTGGCCGAATTTATAATGGGCTTGCTAAAGATTGGCCACAGTGAGAAAAAAAATTATACATTATACATTAATTCAACATTTTAAGTGAGAAGAAGAAAACATTGGGTACGTTCGTAAAGTCAAACGAAAATGACGTCATCGTTATTTTTATTTCGTTAGACTTTTCGACCGATTAGTTTATAACAAAATGGCTGTTTCTAAAATCGAAGATACGAATGTTGCTAGTGCAGTCTTTTCCGAAATATTTTCCTTAGATTGCTTCGGGTGGACAGTTATTTCTATCATTTCACCTTTTAATCCATAACTTAAACTAGTGATTCTCAACCTTTTTTTCGTCACGGTACACTTTTTTAATAATTTAAAAATTTGGCGGCACGTAGGGTTACTTCGGTAAGTACCGCAGGACAACCGGTGACATCATAACAGTGACTTTTAAACGCAGTTGGTTATTTAGGTAACATTTTCTAATCGACTTGGTAGCGGCCGGATAGCCGAGCGGTCCAGGTGGCAGCCTACCGCTCTGGGGAACCCGGGCTCGAATCCGAACGGGTCGAAAGATCCCAGGAATTTTCCAGGGGATCCTTCCGGATATGTCGGGCCCCGTCCCTCACCACCCGTCGCCCCATTGTGGGCTTGGCCGAACCCATAATGGGCTTGCAAAAAGAGGCCCACCTAGTGCCCGCCGGGCGGAGAAAGAGTTAAAAAAAACGCCTTGGTAACTACCGGTAGTTACCGGTAACACCGGTTACAATTCCCAAACGCGCTCTAGGAAGACAGAACCGATTGAACTAGTTGTCTGACGTCGTTTATGTTCGGGTATTCGCAGTGGCGGCACACTTCAAAAAGTGCCGCGGCATAGTGGTTGAGAATCACTGACTTTCGAGTAGATTTAGAAACATCGATATCATCTGGCGCCATTTTCTTAACGAAGTAACTACTCTTTCCTTCGTGAACTTCGTTAGAGTTTCGTTCGAAACGTCGTCACCACAGAGCATGTGTACTGAGCGAGACTACTACTTTTTGACCGATTCGTTACTAACTCGTTTGACTTTACGAACGTACCTATTTATGTTTATTAATAAAATGCGATAATTTTTATTTATTATCTTAANTTTTTTGCGAGACTTTTTAAAATTTTTTAAGAATTAATTACAATTTCTAACAGATTTTTTTTTTTCTGGAAAAGGCTTCCTGGAATGATGCTACAGTTCCTACTTTATCTACCTCATCCGATAAGTCGATTTTACTTCTTACGTGTACTTCTTTCTATTAGATCATAGATACAAATATATAAAAAGTAGATAAATCTAATGTAAAATAATATATATATATATATAAGGGGGGAGGGAAATTTAAGTTATGAAAGTGGCAACGTATATTACGTAAGACGTCAACATCAACTCGATCTGTTGCCGTCAATAACAAAATGGCGGCCGTAATCAAAGGCAGACGATATTTCGGTTGTGTTATTCGTTTCAATTCTGACCGAGAGTACGTCGCCTGAATATTTCCAAGAAAAAACTGGAATATCGAAATATGGTACCCAAAATCTTATTTTAATCGTTATATTTTCGAAATTGTTTAATTGTAATTGAAATTTCGAATGTATATGACGACACAGCACAGAAAATGCTACTTTTTTAAAATTTTACACAAAAATCGATTACTGGAATTTTAAATATGAAAATATTTTAAGTTTTAATTCATTTTTGTGCAGCTGTCAAGCAAATTTAATATATTGATTCATTTATTTACAGATTGACATAAGCCTAAAAATAAATAAATTAGTGTCATGGCTTACTGACATACATCAATATACAGTGTAACAGAATGTTGTTGGTTTACAAATATAAAGCGACTTTAAACACCAAAGAAACCTTAATAGAACTTTAATTAAAATTGTTTCGGACAAATGTTTTCAATCTACAATTAGACTGGCTTCGGGTCTGTATGATTTGACGCCGTATCGGCATGTGTGAAAGAACGATGAGTTTAAAATCAGAACAAATTAGAAATTTTGAAAATTATGTTTGGAAATGACGTGCTAAATTATTCAATAACTAGCCTTGTCGCTTAAGGAATGGATATGATACACGAACAAATACACACAAAAACTAGAAAATTACCAAAAATAAAGTTTAATGGAAGAAACAAATGTTGAAAATGTTCATTTCTTGCATTAAATTTTATTTTTCTTGATTTTATGGTTTTTTTGTGTATTTATTTGTATACAATAACTATGTGCAGGTGTATATTGGTGAGAAAAATCAAATATTGATATTAAAAAAAATTTAAATTTCTATCAATAGGATTGGGATCATTGTAAAATGATTGCCATGCATGAGATGTTTTTCTCTTTGTAATGAATGCATTCCCCTTTAGTTTGGCATTGAACATTTTTAGAGTTTCCACTGTTCTGATCTGCAAAGAGAGTGTATTTTATAAGACTGGTTGCTGTAGTTTTGTTTCTATTTTTTTGGAAGCATATGTGGCCAGATTTCTTTGGTATGCATTTAATTCATTTATCCGTCTAGTTTTGTGAAGAATAAAGGGAGTTATGATTCTGGTACAAATAAACATTGATTCTTAATAATTACTTTTAAAAGTTAATAATGTATAAAAAAATATATGAATTTTTTTAGGCAATATTCTAACTCTGCTAGGACACTTGGCATTTATATTTTGACTCTATATTAGGATTGTAGGTCCATTTCATATGTAAGCATATAAAATGGACCATCAAAGGAAAGCATGATGATACATATAATTTACAAACATACCTTCAAATATGTTCATAAATTATATGTATCATTTTTATCAATTTAATGTCGTGGTAATTATGCACATTTTTTTAAAAATTAGTTGACTATGACCGAAAAGGGGTGACATAAGATCCGAAACGTGTAAACGTGTATCAACTAAATGGACAAATGAAAGGATGCCTAGTGTTCGATTAATTGCACTTTATAGTGCTTACGAAACAAAAATGTACAATGACACAGTTTCAAATTGACAAAACACTTATAATGTTATTTTTCCATTTTATTTGTGTAAACAAAAGTGAACCCTCTGTACCCTAGATGATAATTGGGAAAGTAGGTTAGGGATGGAGGGGTGGTCTATGGATTTAATAGTCAATCACACATTTTTATAACATACTTATATCTAATAGCAAGTTTAATGGAGCCCTGAAAAGAGGTTTAAAAAAACTAGTAAAGAATAGTTATGAAGTATACATACAAGAAAGACTTCGGCTGAGGTGTTTAGCCGGCAGAAAAGAGGGTAAGGGAAAGGGCAGGGGAAGAAGGAAGGAGATGAGATAGATAGTAGAGAAAAGTAGGATCCTTCTGAATGATGTATGTATGACTACAGTATCCTCTATGTTTGATGTTGGCATGCAGTTTTTAGGCTGCAAGGCTGTAGTCCCCTGAAGGGTCTAAAAGAAAACCTAAGTGTAGCAAACACCAATGATTCAGTGCTGCCACGAATAGCTAAGTGTAGAAGTTAGTGCAAAATGGCTGTAAGTAGGAAGACTTAATAACTACTTAATGCTAATGAAACTGAACGTGAGTGCAAATCTTAATACTACTTAACAGTTAGACAGACAGACTGTGAAAAAAACAAACAAACAATGACAAACTAGATGAGATGAATGGACGGACAAAAGACAAACATGCAAGACCCCAAATTTTTTTTTTTTAATATAATTTTATTTATTTTTATTTTTAAACATTAACTTACTAACTAAACTAACTTACCATAACCTAGGACAAACCTAACCAGAAATCAAGCTAAGAGTCCCTAATATAACTTACAACTAGGACTAACTTAAACTGAAAAGAAGGAAAATAAGAATTAAAATACAAAGTTGAAAGCAGCTATATACTGACAGTTGAAAGAAAGCAAGGTAAAGCTAAATTTCATCTGTGCTCCCAAGATCCCCTCTAAGGGATATGAATGCGAGTATACGATGGAACATTTAATGCATGTGAATGAGATTGTGCAGGTTGCAAGGCCAGTTGTACTCTTCAAGAATAGCAGCTCTCATTAAACTATTCCTAATGTGACTGTACCTGTTGCAGTGAAAAACTAAGTAAACTGGGGTTTGGTCCTCCCGAATACCACAGTCGCATTGTGGATTGTCTCCAAGGTTAAATGTAGGCAAGTATTGCTTAAAGTTGCTGTGTCCTGTAAGTAGCTGGGTGAGGGTGTAACTAGGATAAAAGTGGCAAAGAATTGCAGTAGTGTCAACCTTGGGGATGAAAGTGTAGATGAGCCTACTAGTGTGTCATGGTCCCAGCTGTCTTGCCAGAGAATGAAGATTTGCTTCTTGACATAATTGTTGATGTACAAGGTAGGAATGTACTTGAAAGTACTAGTGACTGAAAACTTTGCAGCTTGTTTGGCAAGATGGTCAGCGGTCTTGTTGCTGAGAACTTTCGCATGACCTGGGACCCATTGGAAATCTATCTATTTTAATGTTGTCTGAGTATCTGAGGATGTGGTGTATGAGATGGACGAGTTTTAAGTGGCTATCAGACTTCGCAATCCTGTGTAAAGCTACTCTACTGTCAGAATAAATGTGAAAGTGTAAGTGGTGTCTTTTGTCCTTCCTACATCTAATGTGAATTAAGCTCATATAAATAGCTAAAGTTTACACCTGTACTATTGAGCATTGTATACCTAGATTGAAGCAAGTGTTGTGAAGCTCGTGGCCTAAGTTGGAGTAAACTACAAAAGTGGCACCCACATCGTCACCCATCTTGGAACTGTCAGTGTAAATCCTAAACATGGGATGATCACCTGGATCTTCGAAGTAAATATCGGGCAAGCTGATGGAAGGGGTGGTAATTGTAAGGTGGGAGGGTATTTTTGTTGATGCTGAACTTTTTGATATCATTGATTAAGGTCAAACTGGGGAGAATCTTACCTACTCTAATCATTTTGTCAACATCCAAGTCACTATAATCTTGCCAGGGTAAGGTGATGAGATTTTCCTGCCAAATAAAGCATTTAATTTCTAAGTTGATAGGGGTCAACCCTGACATTAGCAAAAGGGCACTAGTGGGTGCAGTCCTATAAGCCTTACAAATGCAGAGAGCTGCAATCCTTTCAACAGATAACAGTTTTTTACAGTTATGGACTTTGGCGGCCACGTGGTCCCAGACGTGTACGGCATAGAGGAGTGCTGGCTGAATTGCACCCCTGTAAATAAGCTTTGTAGCAGTAGGGCCAAGGCCACTTGTGTTCCTAGTAATACTAATGAGGACGTTGGCCGTCTTTTTAGCTTTGTCTGTGATGTATTTGATGTGCGGTGTGAAGTTAGGTCTCTCATCAAGAATAACACTTAAATATTTAATTTCCATCGTTTGCTTTATTCTGTGAGCACCTTCTAGGTAAGCTTCCTGGGTAAGCTTCCTGATTAGTGGCGCGTTCCTATCAACTATCATGCTTTCGCATTTGTCTGTGTTAATGGGTTGCCTATGCTTAATACTCCACTGGTGAATGTTATTGAGAATGTCGTTGCATATGTCCTGTAAGCATTCACTGTTCCTGTGTGAAGCTAGGATAATTGTGTTGTCCGCATAGCCCTGTATGTAGCAGCCAGGAGGCAGGGTGTCGTTTAAGTGCAGGATAGAGTTATAGGCTATGTTCCAGAGACCAGGACCAGACCTGGATCCCTGAGGACAGCCCCAAGTGATGGGTATGATTATGTTATTTTGTGTTGTATTGATATGAACAATTAAAAACAATTTTGTGTTTTTAATTGATGGAGATTATTGTGATTATATATATATTCGCATATTACCTTAAATTATTAAGCTTTTAATTGCAGTTTTTATGATTTGGTATATTAAACATACTACCGATGCCTGGTTCTCGCTTGTCAGACATGCACACACGCTCTGACCTTCTATCTTCTCCATGTGCAGCTCATTCCCTTACACATAGTGTAGACAAAAACATTGTGCATGTATATCAGGCTATATCTTGCTTCTGCTAAATACTAGTGCACAAGTGTATAGCTTATTGGTAATGGAATATATGACAGTATAGTTGCTAGATAGCCTTCTCGTTGGTTCAAATCCTATATTGGCTTCTATGAAAGATAGTGGCAAAGTTTAAATTACAAAGTAGTATCTCAAGATCAGTAAAAAATATTTTTTGTCTGGTTAAAATACTTAAAGGGAAAGTGACCAGATGTCAAAAAATGAGTGGCATAACCATGTGATATGGCCTTGAGTGTGCAAGGCAAAACAACACAATTTCATCTGTGATATGTGAATTAGGAAGAAGGAATGGATGGATGGATGGAAAGAATGGAAAATAAAAAAGGCAGTTTAGCATGGAGGTCTATTATGAAAGGGACAAAATTTCTGTAGATTTGTATAGATATAATAAATAACACTGGGGTTAAGTCATCTATGTACCAAAGCCTGTTACCGGTGTGAAACTCAAATAAAAACAAAAAGAATGAAAAAACAGTACTTCACAAAACAGTACTTTTTAGATACTCTGTACATATATATAATTTTAAA